TCGCCGTATTCGTGGAAGCTTTTAAAAACCAAAAGGCCTAAGTCAAGCAGGCCTAGGTCCAAGGCTAGCTGACGCGATTTTTTTAGGCTAGGCCCAGGTAGGCCTAGGCCAGAATTTGAGGAATGCAACAAAACAGATGAAGATGAGACTTACTGTAGGCCTAAATAAATTCAACAGTTGACATGCTTTGTTTAGATAAAAAATAATAATAAACAAATCCCGGCGACAAAGCGTTGATCCGACTGTACCCAGCCGCATTGTTTGCCGTAATTTCACATGTTTGACGATTACCACGATGAATGTGTATGTCACTGATTCATGTGCACTCATGTATTTATTTTTTGTCCATTTACACATTATATATCAATTATAACTAAAAGTGAAAAACTTAAAATACAAAATGAAAACAAAGTAAAGAAATAAAACATAAATCAGGTTTCGTAAATTTTTAATAATCTTCTTGCCCCGGATCATGCTCTCATAATAAAACACTTGAATGGTCACAATTTCAACTTTAACCTTTGAATGTGTACAGCAACCGTGTCATGCCAGCCCATGACGTTCGATATGACTCAACTGGGCTTAGGCTGTTCAGTTAGCGATGAATAGCAGGGCAGTGCAGTATTTTGTTACAATTAACGTAACCATGGAAACATTTATTGTATTCTTCTTGTCTTTATCTATCGATTTAGCTTGTCTATTGTGTTTAGGTAAACTAATTATTTTGTTACAATTTGTAAACTGTTGAAATAATAGTGGTGGTCGGGAGCCTGTAAATCCTGGTCGGAAATGTCGAGTGTTAGATGGGCCCGTCCACCGCCGACCAGCGTGGTGACATCCCTGTAAATGTCAATTTATTATTTTTAAATGTTTTTTACCACCAGGTACATTTATTTGTGCATACCCTGTATTGCTTTTATTGTTTTTCTTTATTTTTTATATTATCATTTAATTATTATTAATATTGCTATTACAGAAATTACCTGGCATTGTTCGGATTTTATAATTTTCTTTTTTATTTTCAGTCATCATTTCAAAATGATATAGACATGAGTTCAGCAGATGAGGATGAGGAAGATGGAGAAGTAGAAGAAGATGAGGATGAGGAAGACGAACAAAATTATGAAATGGAAGAAGAACCCCCGTAAGTATGATGTTACCGTTTCGTCTGTTTATCTGTTGACTCCTGACCCCATATTTCTTAGATCAGCACAGAATATCAGCTAAGTATTGTAAATTTTTATTTTAAGAATATTGTATGATTATAAAAATTTAACTGAAATCAGGCGATACAAGATTCTGTTTTTGTCTTGATGTCATACACAGGATGGTTTTGTAAACACCGAATGATAAAATCTATGGCAAGGCTGCTCCCAGTGTGTATGCAAATCAGCAGTTGTCAATAGTAACAAAAAGAATTTTCTTCAATTCAAGCCATAAATTAAACAAAAAAAATATGTCTTGTTTATGTGAATTTTTAATTGACATGATATATTTGCTGGTATTTATAGGTGTAGGTATGAACAAAAATGCTGCTTTATGTGCCCAGCCCAGGCCTACTGTACAGAAGTGTTAGTCTTGATTATTTATGCCTAGTCCAATTAGTCCCGTTGTCTGTGGAGAAATCAATTCAATCATAATACACTGGTTCATTTTTAACCCAGTGAAAGTATCAGGATGGACAACAATAATTTGATTTGATTTTAATCTGTCTCTATAGTGATGCGTCCAAAGAGGATGATAGTTCCAATATCGATGCAGGAAATGTAGCTGTCTTAGAAAGGTTAAAGACAAATCAACGAAGAGATTATTTAAAGGTATTTGTAAATTCTATTATTTGAATTTGACATTTAACTTTTAACAAAAAATATATATGCAGCAGATGCTGAATTAGAGTATTTATACAAAATTGAAATTTTACAAAGAGACATTAAAATTTAAAAATACATTAATATTCATTACAAAAGAAACATTTAAATTCAATACAATAAAAACACTGAATTTTTAAAGTTTTAAGCAAATAAATAAAATTTCATAAAGTAGGACATGGGACTCTTTTTAAAGCATTCCCTGTTTTGAAGAGGCGTCTCATATTTTCGTTTATTGCGGAGTTCCATTGTTGACGTTTTTTCACTTTGGGAAGCAGTGATTAAATCCTACTCTCTTTGTTGGCAAACTTTGTGTGTAGAGATTCTATGTTGGGAGAGCGGTTCCTGACCTAATTGTGGTAATGACCTAATTATTTGAGAGAAATTTTATAAGATTGGTGAGTGTTACCAAGGCATCCTGCACCCTTTCGAGTACATTTACTACAGACCACACAGACGCAGCATGCTTAAGGGAGTCAAGAATATATCCTAAATATACAGTTAATAATTTATTTTTGTTTAAACTGGCTCTTAATTTTCTTAACATAAACATTTTTTTATTTACTTTTTTTCGCCATTTAGTCTACATGGTTTTTTTTTAAAAGCCATATTGGAGAAAAAAAAATTAATGGTGGATATACAAGTGCAAGAAATGAGTTATAAATAAATATGTTTCAGGGTTCTGTATCTGGATCAATTCAAGCAACAGATAGACTGATGAAGGAACTAAAGGAAATCTATAGGTCAAGGAATTATAGAGACAAACATTACACAGTGGAATTAGTCAATGATAGTCTTTATGATTGGAATGTCCACATATTTAAGTAAGTATTTTTTTAATTTGTTCCACATTCTTTGTCCAAATGCAGTAGAACTAGGGGGAGATTGCATGTAAGTGGATAATGGAGCATGTAGTATTTATCAGTAAAACTAAAGTGTTTAGCTATCATCTTAACTTATGTGTTGCAGCTTCGAGTCTCAGTCAAGAAATATGGGCAATTTTCAGAACAAGTGGCTATACCTTTATACATGACTGATAATGACTGCTGTGTTCCAAATTCGACCACTGCTCTCCAGTTTGACCCAGGGATTAAAAACAAAGCATCCTAACCACTTCATCTTAATATGAACTTACCTTTTGACCTGAGATATGCTGCAGACCAATTCAACTGGGACTTTTTATGTTGCATAAACTGTGTCAATAGGTTTATTACTGTACATCACAGGATTTGAACCCAGGACCTTTAATTATAAAGCAAGCATCTTAACCACAAAACTACAGAGCTCTAATATATCTTTAAGCAGTTGTCAAAATATATAGTTATACTGTATATCAGATAACCATGGTAGACATTCAGTAAAAACACTACACAGTACTTTAACAGTTAATTCACCAATTTTAAAGATAGATAACATACAATAGTTGTATTTTTATTATTTGGGTTTATTGTATTCCAAAGGCCTTATTTTAATGTCAAACTAATACAATTCTATCATAAAATTATTCTTTCTTCAGCTGTCGATATTACCTTAGTAGACCTAGAATTTAATTTAATTGAAATTGCATGTGTGAATTATTGATTCGTAGTTTGTTATACAGTAAAAGATTATTGAGTGGTATTAATACTGTATAGTGGGATTCACCTGTCTTCTTCACACCTATTCTATTGCACTTGTATAGTACTATAATTTTTTTCATTAATACAAATTAATGATTCTGCAATAAAGTTTGGTAAAGTACATCTTGTACCCATGTATGATCACTTATTGTAAAGAAGTTATGATGGTGGTATAATTATTATCCTCCTCACTATCATCATCATCATCATCATCATCCTCTATTGGGAGATGCTGCTGTTACATGTAGTTAAAATAAAATAAAATATTTTCCATTGTTTCGAGGCCGAAAAAGTGTCCCTTTAATATAGGTGTCCCAGAGTATCCCCTTCATAGGGGTGTCCCAAAGGAGTGGAGGGGGGGGGGCTTTTCTACTGTATTAGTATATACATATTATTAATATTGTTATTGTTGTGCAAAAATGCCATCGGAATATTGTTATAATTATAATATTATTATTGTTATTGGGATATTACTATGTGAGCATGAGCATCCCTGTGTACACAAAAATGATTATGTTATTAGTATTAGTATTTATATTATTATTATTGCTTTTTGCAGAGTTGACAAGGACAGTGCTTTATATGCAGATTTACAGCAACTCAAAGAAAAGGAAGGCAAAGATCATTTATTACTTAATATGACATTTAAGGTAATCAAGCTGTTTTTAATTACCACTTATAATGGAAAATAGTTCATTATTTTAATTAATATTTGTTAATGCTGCAAATTTTTAAAATATTGTAACATCAATCTGTATCATGGAGTGTTTTAACCAGCATTAAATCATCTACAGTGTACGTTATGAACTGTACTAATTCAAAAAGAAGCCTATGCTAGGCTTGTTTTAGAGGTTACTTTTGCACACTAAAGAGAGGGGCTTTAATTAGAGGTGGGCTTCTTCTTGTGATTAAACCCATTGGGCTTCTATTCGAGGTTTATCGTATTGATTTAAATCAACAAATGAGATGTTCATTAATTTTTTTTTATTTTCGTAGGATAATTTTCCATTTGACCCTCCATTCATACGTGTTGTTTTTCCTGTGTTAACGGGGGGATACGTTCTTGGTGGAGGGGCCATATGCATGGAGCTACTAACAAAGCAAGGCTGGAGTAGTGCATACAGTATCGAATCCATTATAATGCAAATAGGTGCAACACTAGTTAAAGGCAAAGCTAGGATACAATTTGGAGCTTCTAAGGTATGTTATATCATTCTACCATTTGTTTGCAATTGTTTAAAGAATTGGTTACTAGTAAATGTAATGCAGGGACATGCCGGGAGACGGCTGGCTGGGGGAACACTGGCTGGGATTCGAACGTGCCCCCTTCAAAATATCCAATTCTTATGGGATAATTTATCTAAAAATCTGGGCCCATTTTCGACAGCAAAAAGAAAATGGCTGCTTTTCACTAATTAATCAGGTAATGCTGCAGACACTGTACTCTGCTTTTTGGAGTGGAGTGGATTGTTTAGTCATGAGGAAAAATTCCAGGTATTAGTAGGATTTTAATTCAGCATTTTGGAATTAAAATACATACAAATGAATCTTAACCACCAAGCAACAGCTATTCCACAAATGTACTTGGGTATACAGTAAGTGTATACACTAATATTTATTCTCTGCAATATAATTTCATGATGATCCTGGTTATCTTCAATTATTTTATAATTAGAAACCAAATGTGGTATAGATGGGTATAGGAGACCAATAATATTATATTACAAGTTTTATTAATATTATAATGCTTGTTATTAATTTTTCAGAGTCAATACAGTTTAGCCAGGGCACAGCAATCATTCAAGTCATTAGTACAAATTCATGAAAAAAATGGCAAGTATTCTCTATATTACCCATTGTTCCATGAAGATATATTTTTATGAATCATACAAACTCATACATATCCTAATACAGTAGAACCCCTCTTTTGAGACACCCCTATGTAGGAGACACCACTTTTAAGGGGACACCTTTTTTTTTTGTGGTCTACTGTATTAGTCTTTCGTTGTGAACTTGACTACCCTTACAGATAGACAGAAAAGTGCACTCTTTTGTTTCTCAAGATTGTTTTGGCTATTTTGTACTTTCAGGCTGGTTTACTCCACCAAAAGAAGAGGGATGATGAATACATAAAACCATAGGTGTTAAAAAAATATCTAAGAATGGGGATAACAGCCCAATTGACACTGAACAGCAGATGTTGTGTACTGGTCATCCACAGATCTTCATTGTAATAGTTTTTGTTCGGTTCTCTTGAAGTTGGTGCTAGGCCAATTCTAAGAAAAAATAATCGAACCAAGGTGTCTTACTCTTCTGCCGACCAACCAATGACCATGCACAGTTAGGCCTCTCGATGCCTTAGTAGTAAATGTTGAACTGGAGATATTAATTTATACCAAATACCAGTTTAAAATTTGTCATAGATGAGATATCAAGCAGTGTAGTTCTCGAGGCCCCCGTGCTTTCAAATTTGGGTTCATGTATAATAAGGCATTGCTTGTAGCTTTATTAATGACTAACATTTAAGAACAATAAATACAGCTTCAAGGTTCCAATTCCATGTGTTCGTTAGGCAATTAAGGGTGGGATTCGTTGACTTAAGCCGGTTTAGAATATAAACGTTCAGAAATGCAGACATGTTTTTATTTACTTCATATTATGACCACTGACCAATAATGTAATTTAAACCATCAAAATATGCATTTGGAAAATATATCAAATTGTAATTTATCATTTACGATAGTAATGCTTTTTGTCAATTTTTAATATATTTTCAGAAAATATTTAAAATGCTAAGAAATCGTATTAAAATTTTGTGACTTCAAATCACATTGAAGCTCTGTCCACTCAAACTTTATTTGACAAAAACATGTGACATGCCTAAATATGGTCATGATGACATCACATCATGACCATATATGGGCACATCATGACTATATGTGGGCATACAACAGCTTTTTGGTCAAAATAGAATTTGATTTGGTCAGGGCCGAACATTTTGGATTCATGATTTGCTGTCAGACAGGAGGCAGTCGGCTCCTCAACATTTAGGTACGATTGCTGCTAATATCTATTGATCATTGTATAAACTCATTTTTCTGCCCTCCAAAATAATGTTTTTACCCAGCACATCTTACTAAAAACAGAAGTAGGAAATTTTGTTGAAACTTTTGCAATAAGTATGATAATAGTATTGTAAAATCAAGTTTTCTTCTAAATTTAATTTAATCTTGTTTAATATAGGCCTAATTAAGACTGTTGTTTACTTGTAAAACCAAGTTTATTGTGGATATTGTAGTGGTTATTCCTAAACATTTCATTTATTTCTATATTAAATTAATTTTTGATGAAAATAATTTTAAAAATACTCTGAAATAAACATTTTTTTACAATTGTGAAACAAAAATGAACATTAAAGTTTAATCTTAAGCCTTAAAAATGGGTACAACAAAGAAAACCCAAATTAGGGAAAAAAAATGTAATGGATTTAACCTTCTATATCATCAGCCTTATATGTTACAATAGTATTTAAAAAAAATCCTGGCATGATCATACGAAAGGTAAAATAATAATTTAAAAGTCACAGTAACACTTTACAGATTTGCAGTATCATATCATTTTTGATAAGCAAAGACAACAGTTCCCAGTACAAATATAAGCTTCAATCAAAATTTTGTTATTCCTAGTCATCACTGCATTAAGCTGTATTCATCCAGTAGTCTGTGACAATCTTTTTCCAGCAAGTTAAGGTGTACACTTACAGAGATAAGTTTGCCCCAAGCCTTAATCATTCTATAAATAGGGAGTTTATGATTTGCACGACAACTTAAACATAGGACATGTGAATCCGTTCTGATTTCTCTGTACAACATACGTTCCGGCCACACTGTGTCCTAGAAATCAAATGATGTGGATTCCACATCATTACATTGTAGATCATACTGTTGTCATGTCATTTGAAAGCTCTATATTGGTTAACTCAAGGAAAAGGACATTGCAACAACAACTAGAATTAACTCTCTGGCTGTCAGTTGTTTGCTCATAAGTTGAATTGTGTAATATTATTTAAGTCATGTTGATACGAGAAATTCTAGCAATACCTCGTCTTTGGTTTTGTTAAGCGTCTTGTCAATGAAGAGAAGAAAAACATGTCAACACAATGTTTTCTAAAATGGAAAACCTATTACAGTAAGATTTTGTTATGATACCAAATAAAGCTAATTTGTAATAATGAAGAGTAAGTATGTTGTCTACATAAAAATGCATAGCATATTGGTAGCATTTAATCACATGCATTTTTATCTGTGTAGTCAGCGTCGTAAAAAGTAAACAATGCACCCATTAGAAACTGAATTCAGCAACACAGTGGAAATATTGTACATGTGTAATAAGAGTCTTACACTGGGGTATACTCTAATAATGTGATGGTCCTTGAGGCCTTATATGTCTTAGATAGTGGAGATGTTTTATTTATGAAAAAAAAATCATAGGAAGGATTGCTAAAAGTGGGCTACAGGCTGTCCTAGCTGGTTATCATCATGACATAGATAGTGGTCTTTGATACAGTAGGCCATTTCTATGCCACAATCGAATCAGAAGCCAATTCTTTTTTAGCTTCATTTGAAGGAGCCGAAAGTGACATAATATTTATTGATATGACTGCCTTTGAGGAAGTGTTACAAAAAGCTCATTATTTTAAAAATTTAGATAACACATGCTTTTGAAACTAATAATCTGCTGCAGAAAGCCTGTATAAATATACTTCTAATTTTGCAAGAGCATATGTGTTAATGTGTGTGACTCAGCATTATTTTATGTTGCAACCATTAGCATTTTAGAAATACTGGGTGCTTCTGCAGCATGCCTTACAAGGGTGGTGGCTATTTTCCAATTGTCTATGCAATGAGTTGGCTATACTTGGCCAGGTAGGGCTACCTGTAGTAACTTTTTTTAGCAATCCTCCACTGGTGTTTCCAGGATTTGAACCCAGGATTCTGGAATTTGAAGGCAAGAGTCCTTTGATCAGATTATATTTAATATACACCTTCATTTTTGTGTAATAAAAATGTTTTCAAATTGACTGATCTTGTTCTGGTTTTATAACTTTGGAAGGGGAAATAACATAAAAACATGACCTTTTCAGGATTGTCCGTTTGTGCCATCTACAAGAAGGTGAGGTCATATCTGCAATATGTAAAATGTGAGTTCATCAATGTAGCTCACAGTTGATGACACTTATTCCCTATTGATATACAATGGACCGTTTTGCTAAGCTCCGCCCCTTGGATGTTGTTGCTAAGCTCCCACAAAACAGCTGTGTAAACTTGTATGTTTGTGGGGCATGCACATCTCCAAGCCCTGTCCTGATTGGTCTGTTGGCACTATATATAAGCATATTCATGAACCTCGGGTTGCAATATTTGCTACTTTTGCAGCTTACACCATAGGTGCAACTCGTGTTACTGTTCGTTTTGGAAAAAATATATACATGTTGTTGGAGAAATGTTTGAAAAATGATTTATTGGGTAGGTGCATTTAATTGGCATGTACCACCAGCATTTTATATTGACACATAATCTGCCATTTAGTATTAATATACCCCTCTCTCGACTCCAAACTTGGTACGAACAGAATGTCATTTTCAGCTTATGTACTATCTGCAAAATAAAAAACCAAAGTTATTGTAATTGACAGCTTTTATCGAGTATTTGGTTTTTCTGGATGTAATTTTGTGTAGATTTACTCATTTTTTTTATGTAGAAAACAATTATTGAATAATTATTCGTGATTTAACCTATCTATGCAGCGAAACTGAAAAATTTTCAATCTGGTTGCTGTGTTTTTGCACACAAGAAAGCATTGTATAATCTTGACGAAGCATGCTATTTTCCAGTGTGACGTCATGGGAAAGTAAAATATTAACATAATTTACTGCCAATTTATCCACAAACTGCTGTATCCATTGGAAGATTATACTTCTGGTCATTAGAAATTATTTTAAATGATTGGACACTCTAAAAAGTGATTCTGTTATCTATCTTCAGTTGAGTACATGAGAATCATCGTATTTGTCAAGCGTGGACCAACTTGTACAGTTATTTGCTTTTCCCCTAAGGATCACTTCGTGTCTGAGCTACTTGGTAAACTGGTTCCAGCTACACCGACACCAGCTACCCTGGTCTGCCTACCACATGGGCTGTATGGACCAGTACATATGGGTAACCCCCTACTTTTCTTGAAAGATATTATGGGTTCTTTGAAGGCACTGGGTCTACGGTTTATAATCCTTATTTGAAAGGACTTGTTCCACCACAAGAAACATAGGTGAGTGTACCGCTCAAACCAGCACTGATATTAAGGCTGTAGGTTGTGACGCATGGGACTTATTAAAATATATTTAGGCACTTATTCAGGCTGGCCATGGGTATCAAATACAGCAAAATAATGAGGCTCAAATAATGTTAAATGTGTTGTATTTGTGAAGCCAACACATGAATTAGCAATATACACAATTACTAATTAATTTATGTTAACTGAACCTTGTTTTCTATCCTTTTTTTTGGTAAACATTTTCTAATTTATTGTTTCTGTATACCAGTACTAGTTGGAAAGCCTTTGTATAGGTTTTTGTGATGGTTTGTAGTAAGATATAGAAATTATATACATCAAATATATAATGAAACAATATATTAGACTATAGTAAAATGCCCTGACCTGCTGACATAAACATGCAAAAGAAAGCAATACTGAAACACATTATTGAATGATTGTGCACTTTTTATATTTCATCATCGCATCAGATCACAATTCTAATACTGATTTACAATTGACACATAATTATGGAAATTTTGAAATTTTTTTATTATATTAAATAATATAGTTAATTTCTCATAAATGCCAAAATTTAAAACATTTTGTAATACTGTATTACTATTTAAAACCAAAAGGAAATACTCAATCGTTTAAATTTTTTCCTCGCCTCTTGGATATTGTTGCTGTTCCTACGGACAAACAGCGTACAGTATATCTGATAGGGCAGTTGTTAAGTTTGATTGGCACTTTGGAATGGTCCATTGCAAGTAGGTAAATTGTTAGTTTCTCATAACATACTTAAACTAATTTAATTGCAGATTAAACACACAGTATTAAAGAAATTATTTCTCAAGCACAGTGACGTTCGGAGATCAAGGATCAGTCGGACGGCAAATTTAATTTTTTACTATCGGCCTAGGCCTAATTCTTGGGTTCACTGCCAAGTATTATTCTCCCCATACTGCTTTTTGGTGAATTGGTAACCATAGTATTCCATGATTAAAGTATTATTTTAAGTATTTTTGGCTCCTCCTAGGTAAAAAAAAAATGTATGCCAAAAAATGCCAATCCTAGAATTTCCTGATTTTTGGTCCGCTGAGCTAGAGACAAAAAGATTTTTTTTTGCCTTTAAACCTTAATGAGGTAAATGTTGTACACAAAAATCCAATAAAATGCGTATCATTAAGTACAGTTTAACAAATTATTTATTAATTAAGATTGAAATATACACTAATTGTATGAAGAAAATCAGTTTGTTTAAATTATTAACTAAGTATATTGAAATAATCTTCAAACCAAACAAAAAGCGTTAAATTAACTTCACAATTTACTTGAGAGCTGTTGTGAGGTAGAATAGTTGCTTTTGTTAAGAGGGACATAACTCTTGCTTGCAGTATCAATTCTATACATGGGGTCAAAAACCTTGTTGGGATCAAACCCATCCTTTACCAACTCCCCTTTCTTATGTTTGAAGGTTCCAGTAATTTCCATATTTGTCATTATTCTCAGGAACTTTGGACAGGCGTAAGATGGTAACTTGCTTGTTACATGTGCATACAGCTTCTTAAAGTCTAATACATCGACGTTGTCATGCAGCGTGAGAGCAGCCATTCCTGCCCTGCCATCTTGTCCTGTCAAACAAGAAAAAGATAGACATAAATTGCTATATTAAAACAAAAAAAAAAAAAATCTTTATTACTAAAACATAGAATGTTAAGGCAAGAAAAACATCTTTTGCACATAATGTGGCTCACTTTATTCATGACAACATGATGAAACAGGAACATGAAAACTTTACTACTAGTTCTGGCAATTTAATTAGGCTTGTCAGTTTTTTTATTTCTGAGAAACACACATGCTGCGCTTCAGCTCTGCTACCAATGTTTTTTGACAAAAACTGTTGTATGCCCATATGTACTGTGGGCATGATGTGATGTCATCATGACAATATTTAGGCATGTCACGTGTGTGTGTGGGGGTGTGTGTGTGTGTGTTTGTCAACTAAACTTTCAGTTTGGACAGGGCTTTATAGTTTGCAATGAAAATACCCTGACACAATATACAATGAATAATGAATGTGTCGGTAAATGAATAGAAAAAAAAAATTAAATGACACCTCACCTGGCACCTTGACTCCATACACATTTGCCTCCACAATGCCTGGGAATTCATCAAGAACGTCTGCTACCTCTGTAGTGGCTACATTCTCTCCTTTCCACCTAAAACAGTTTTTAAAAAATGAAGTTATGTTTATGCATATTATTTATTATGTTTGTGAGAACAGAGGATTTCACCTGCTTTTGCATGGTATGCAAATTGAGAGTCAGCAGCTGTTAAGTTTATTGTCAGGCTTGTTTTATTGGACTCTGTTTAGTACTCTGGAGCAGACAGTGAAGTGCAGACTATGAGCTAGCTGATAGTTTCATTGTGGCCATTGGTCTACCAACCCAGGTATATGTTTTGTTGCTATTTTACTAAATAGGCATTATATTTGCTGCTGTTTTTATGGCTATGTAGACAAAATGATAATTAGCTATGTTAGAATAGGCTAAAGGCTGTATAACCAATCAGCATTGATTGCTATGTTAACTTGTGTAGATTAGGATATCCAATATGCCATATTGTTTTTACGAGGGCCTCTGAATAAAAACCAACCTTCCAAGATAAGCTGGAAGTGTCATTCTCTACAAAATAGTGTCATAGATTTTATCATGATTTATAGATATTACCATTACCTATAAATATATTAATATTTACACATGGGTATTATGTCACCTCTTGATGGCTGAAAATGGCACTCTCGGACTTTTGAATACGGTTTTTTTTTTTTTAGGGGAGGGGGGGAATATCTTACCGGAATGTATCTCCCAGCCTGTCCATGAAGTAGATATAGCCTTCCTTATCAATTTTAATCAAGTCTCCCGAATTAAAATACATATCACCATCTTTGAACACATTGCGAATTATCTTCTTCTGAGTTGCTGCTTCCCCGGTATATCCTTCAAACTCGCTTTTTTTTGGTATGATCTGGGTCACCATCAGTCCCATCTCTCCTAGAAAGGGTTTTATAATGATTACATATATGAGGCATGTCGTGGCGAAATGGTTAAGTTGTCGCACAGGCCAGTATTGAGTAAATGAGCTATAAAATATGGGAGCTCAAAAAATTGCCTAAAAATCTAAATTTTTTTTTCACTATAGATCAACAGTTTAAAAGTAAGTAAGTTCAAAGTATTAGTTCTGAAAGTGGTCAACAAATCGTTTATTTAATGTTATTTAGATAGTTAATTCTATTAAACAATGTATGCTCAAATAACTTTGGAAGGCAATTACTCAAAATCATGTTTATCTTGACTCTAAGAGTGCTGTACGCTCACTTTCCAATAACTTAGGCTTGAAATGTCCAATTTCAATGAATGACCCCTCATTTTAAAGATCACATACTCAGACATCTGAAAATACCAATAACTTGAATTTCAATTTTTGCTACAACTTAGTCATTTTGCCACAGCATGCCTCATATAATCATATGAGGCTTGCTGTTACAAAACCAGCATACTGTTGCTAAATGTTAAACTAAGTAATTAGCATACGGCAAGACTTTTTTACACCTTGTTTAGCAAACCCGCTGCCTGCCAAGAAAAATATTTTATTTTTGGCCAATTAGTGCAGCCACCGTCACGTAAAAATAAGATATATATTTTCTTAATTATTTAAATTTATAGTATAGATGGTATACCTGGTGTGATACCTGGTACTTGTGTGTCCCAGGCATGTGTTACATGTTGGGCCATGTGGGCCTTGTATTCAATTTTTGAATAAAGTGTACATACAATACTAAAAAAAAATTTAAAGCATTTTAACCAATTCATAAATTACACTATTTACATTTACCAATAATCTTTATTTTTATTTTCTCCTCTGCTTGGATGTTTTTGGCAAAACTATTTGCTAAATAAGAAAACTAAATTTTCTTTTTATTTTTTTTCCGCCCTCCAACGATCTTTAAAAAAAAAAAAAAAAGTTTGCGAAACAAGGTATAAAGAAAGTCTTGCCTAAGAATGTGGCAACATTGTATTCTTTAGTACAGAGGAGCTGTGATAATTTGGCAATAGTAAGTTGATACCAGTAAATGACATGTTAAAGCTTACTATAATGTGGAGAAAATGAATGAACTTTCCGAAGTCGAATCCAAAATGCCACTGAAAATTGTTCGACTTAGATAAAATTCGACTTACAGATTGTTAATTGATGGAAAACACAACAATTTGCAGGCATGAGGGAATTTTGAAAAAATGCACTTGTCCTGAAGACAATAAAATAATATAATACAATAAAATAAATAAATAAATAAAATTGTACTTATCCCAATATTATTGTGCAATAATCATAAAAAATAACACAAAAGTAAGTATTTTTGCTGTGGCCCTACAACAATAGGCCTACATGCATACGGCATTGATCACGCAAAAATGTTTTTCTTATTTTAATCCAATTATATTTCTTTTTTTAATTTGATAGAATTTCAATAAATAATGATATGTAGAAATTCAAATAAAATAAACATTATTAATAATATTCTATGTATGTAGGAGTGTGTTGATCGTTTTCTTACTGCCTGTTTAAAAGCTGTCGTCACAACAACTGCAAGTAAAAATTTCTCGGGCATGGTCAGGCTGACAGGACTGTGTTTTATGACGTTATTTGGAGAAAGGGAGGGGGTGGCCATATCGTATGTTTGTACCAGTTTGCAGCATCTTAATCAATGAATACTAACTTCAAAATGTATTTCTTTTTGTGGAGCATACAAACAAAATTCACATTGCACGGGGAAACCCCTAGAGAAATAGATGTGCAGAATCGTAAATACTTGTGTTCCTACTAAACCCTCAATTTTTAACTCTAGTTTTACTTGAAGATTTGGATTTTATATGCACTTTATCTCCATCACTTAGAAGTGAATGATTTTTTAATTACTTTAACAACTTTAAATCTCAATTTAACTACCCTTTCTTAGGCTGTCTAGATTGCCTTCCCCAAACGCGCAAATAAATTTTTTGAAGTCGGCCTAATGGCTGCTGTTCATATTCGTACTCGAAAGTAATTACTAGTCTTGAAGTCCAGACATGTCATGTCGTCCAACTCAAATAATCAACTAATGGCTGTGTGCCCAAAGTCTTTAAATATGTCTGGTATTTTTAGACTAGACCAATGCGAATTTATATTGTAAACAGACCATGTGCAGCAGGCCTACTAGACGGCTGACAGCTAACAGGTATGATATTGTGCGAAAATATGTCTGCTGTGGGTCTTACAACAGATCTGGTTAACATTTAACAATTAAGAATTCATTTTCAATCTTTACTGCAGAAAATAAAAAATTTAATATTGAGTTAGGCCTACGTTTTTTCTTTTGAACCGTCCATAAATCGTGGGAGTGTTGGCCACTCAAAATTGATTCACGCAGTGCGGTGCATAATCATGGCCTAGGCCTAGTCGGTTTTTTTTATGTTTGATATATCTTTGTGCGCCGACAATTTGTTAATAAAATATGCTGCTTATTGTCAAGAGTCGGACTTTTTATAAATACTGTTAAATCATTATGCATTACTTGGTTAAGTAGCCTATTCTAAAAGTGCTTGTCCACGGACAAGTGGTCCCTAAATTCTTGTTGTCCGACCGTAAAAAACACTTGTCCTAGGCGTCGGGCAAGTCGGTTCACTCATGCCTGATTTGCCATGTAAAATAAGATCGACTTAAAAAATTATTCAACTTAGGCAAGTTTAACTTACATTAAAAAGTAAATTTTTTTGTTTTTGGCATGGTAAGCCGCATATACTAATTCGAGTAGGAAAAAATGTTTTAACAGCGTAAATGGTAGAACCATTCTTTCAGGCCCTGATCATAATTAGGATTTTTAGATTTTATACTTTTCAAAATATCACAAAATATAAATAATTTTATAATATATAACAAACCTCAAATTAAACCATATATTTTCTTAAAAAGAACACAAGCTGTATACATTTACATTTATATATTTGTCTACATGGCAAACAAATTTACTAGGTAAAATGTATATTGTAACAAATATACAAAAACAAAAGGAAAAAAAAAACATATATCATTAATTAGAACTATACAATAGAGGTTGTACCTTTATGATAGAAATTCAATACAGGTTTAATTAAAGACACTTCTGTGGTGCCAAATTCTTATTCTAATTATTCTAATTCGAGACCAAAGCTGCTAAGACCATGGAAACCCCAGTCCCAAAAGTGGTCTTTAATTGAAGGGTGACCTGTAATTAATGTGAAAATACATGTACACTTCAAATGTTTGAAGCAAAAAGAGTATTAAAAATCCCTAAAATCTGAATACCTGGGCATACAGGAATACACCTTCCATTCTTATCTCTGATTGGTTCAACCCCATCTACATCATACCGAAGTATTTGAATTGATCCAGTCAAAAGCTGTGGACAACAAACACACGCAATTAGTTTTTTTATACACTTTTGCCCAACTCAAGATCCGATCTGTCACATCCCTGGGAAAGGCACTTTACTTATGTTTGACTCTCTCTACCCAAGAGTATAAATGGGTACCTGGTATGATGGTGCGGCATTGAATGTATTGAACTGAACGTAAGGCCGCATGACTTGGAATACTCCTCAGGAAGCAGAGAAAGTTACACAAATACGTGCTGGTTTGCCAACTTATTATCCAGTGACTAGGGAAATACTGACGCGAGCGCCTTGTATAGTATTCTTCGGTCTGTGATAGGTGCAATATAAATCCGGATTCTAAAACAAAAACCAAAACAAAAAAACATAGGGCCATTCATGGAGGGGATGAAGGCTAAATATACAGAAAGCACAAGACAGATAAAAAAGTCTCAAACATAAGCAGTGAGGGAAAAATATTTATCTTATACTGTATATATTGATAATTATATGAATGATTAATTTACAAAAAGTATAATTACAAAAGTTAAATAGCACCAATAAATGTCATATCAAATTGGCTTAAACTTACACTCAAGATGTTCTATAAAGAAAAAAAAAATTATAGCACCTTAACATTGCACCCATTTACCTTCATCAATGGAGTGTATCGTCCCACTGTTCCAATTTTTCCATCGATATTGAGGAACATAGTGTTGCCTTCAGTTGCTCCCCATATTTCACCAATATGTTGTATATTAAACCGAGACTGAAACTCCTCCCAGATGTCTGGTCTTAGCCCATTGCCTATTGCCAGGCGCAGTTTATGAGCATATTTACCATCATCATGCCTCTAGAAGCAACAGATGTTATCAGTTATATTTTTTTTAAATTGTTATGAAATATATAGATTTCATTTTAACAAAAATACACGCAGATTTTTAAATTATTCATTATTTGTATTGAGCAATAAATGTACTACAAAGCAAAAGTAAACAAAGGTTTTTGCTGACTTTTAAAATTGCTTTTTTAAAAAATACAAGTCTTTTATCTCATCATATATAATTAATGTAGGTGTTTAAAAATGCTAAGCCTTTGTCTTTAATTAATTTGTTTAAATGAAGTGCTTACTTGTATAATACAATTTTGCAAGTAATAAAAACTTTCTAGGCATGCAGGTAGTTGAGTAAAGTTTATTGAACTTTCATTCTCATGACCACAGTAAACTATACAGCAACAAATAAAACTTTTATGTGACAATTTTTATAAATGACTAGATTGTTATCCTAAAGCACATGGTTTTTCATTCAACCAAGCCATGTGACAATGACAGCTGTGATGATGACAGCAACAATGATGATAGCAACAATGATGATGGTAGTATAGGTAATAGCAGAATTTGTTATATACAATAAATCCCTCCTTTAAAACACCCCTATTAATGGGGCACCCCTATTAAGGGGTCACGATTTCAGCCACAAAACGAGGGAAAGTGTATCTTTTAACACTACAGCCAAGCACTATTCAGGGGAAACCCCTATTAAGAGGACACTTTTTTTTGGTCCTGAATGTGTCCCCTTAATATGAATTCTACTGTATAAGTTCAGTTTAAGCCACTTTAACTAATGCCCTATGTGAATTGAAATTGCATATCATTATCAATTAGTACATGAATGAAATAATGAATACCTGTAATTATGGAATTAACATATAAACCAAATAGCATTGACAAGAGGAAAAATAATTAGGCTGGCTACTATTAACACACTAAAAAAAAACTAAGTTCACATCTTAAAGTTTAATAATGTAAATTATTCATTCATATTAAGATGTGAACTTAATTTTTTAACTAAAAATTAATTAATTAGTTAATTTAACTAATTGTGTGACATTTACATGCAATCTCACATTAGAATGACATTTGTACATAAATAATTGTTTTTAACAATTGGGTATGTACTATGCTACCTTTGCTGTTTTTATGTGCAGAAGTTCTTAGCCAACATCTTTGTAGTGCTCCTGTAAATATGTTTAATAATGAAGTCTGGATTACCACTTCCTGAGTCTGGATTAGCAGGCTCATGGCCAGGGCACTAACTGATAATCCTGGCTAACTTAACTCATTTAATGTCACATTATTTTTTTTTATTTTTTTTTGCTTATATTGTATCTTTTTTGTTAAATAATGAATGAATAAGCAAAGGTTGGAACAAACTAACTACAAATGAATTTCTTTTTTTTTAGAGAGATTTGGGTTTTATTCCAAAGAAGATATAATTTATAAGACAAAATTAGTTTAATAATTGAATAAAAATAGAAAAATTTTAGTTTTTAAGATTTTTTTTATACATATGTACATTTTGTCCATGTAGCTTTTGTATTTTTGGCACAAAAAAAGAAAAACCAGTTTCCTGATTTCCTGTGCATTTGTCATATACTCACGACATCTACTACCTACTAGAATGTGCCGTCAGCGTTTCCACCAGTTCATTAAACACTAAAGGGGTCTAAAACAGCCTCTTTTGGCCCCAGATTCTTCAGATCAAGTTGTATGCTAGTAATAATTGAATCTGATCTGCACAGGCCAAAATTAAAAAACACTAGAAAAACCACTGAAAGAAACTAGTTTAATACTTTACTTGGCCCTAGAGATGAATTCTCTCACAATATATTGGGACCATGTTTATTCAGATGGACAAAAGGCTAAGCCCTAGATAACTTACAAACTAATTAATGATTACCAATCAAATATTATGTAGAACTCACCCTCGGCTGAGCTAGTAGGTAGCGACATATCTCCCCTATGTACTGTATGACAGTGCAGCGATATCGCCTTACATCATCCCAGAACTGCGAGGCTGAGAATTTTCGACTAAGTGCAATGGTACTTCCTGAAGAATAGAAATATAAAAAAATACTGTACTGAAAATTCGGAACAATTATAATAATGAAAAGCTATATGAAATTGAAAAATGGTGTAAACTGATAAAAAAAATTAAAATATAATAATAATAATAATAGGACAGTATCAAAGATAATTTTTGAATTAATATAATTAATAATATGCCTTCCAATACTTTTACGTGTAATGCAATTAATCATGGAAAAAAGACTGATTTGATAAAGTCCTCAAATATGTATAATATATTATTTATTGTAATCATCAAACAATAATGGCAATACTCTAATTTAAAAATAATGGAAATTAATTTCATGAAAAAATTGAAAAAGAAAATGTTAGTTGTAAATAACATATCAATATTCTCAAGAATTGTTTGTCCATTCATTTAAAAACAGAAATGTAATTTTAACTAGCATACTATACATATACAAATTTAAACAACAAAGGCAAAAGCACAACATCCATAAAAACCACTTTAATATAGAAGAAAGAAGTTACTTAAATTGCGCGATAACTATAAAAATATAAATTAAATCTCGCATACTTACCAACTCTTATTATGTTTAAAAGACCCAGGCCAAATCCTGCACTGTGATAAAGCGGCAACGGTGTGTATACGACATCATCAGAATTCAAACCGTATATATCAAGAATGAAGGAGGTTAAAATAAACCGTCCATGAGAAACCTTGCAAGCCTTTGGGTAACCTATCAGATAATAGTAAAATAATGCAAAATATTTCTCTGTTGCCCCAAGCAGGCCAATACAAAATTTTGGCTTATTTTTCAAAAACATTATTTTTAATATTTGTTTCTTACTCATTAAGAAGGAGTACAAATACTTGTATAATGATTCAAAAATGATAATTTTAATTACTTAAATATAATTACTGTGCACTCACTAATTTGAGACCATTATTTCAAAGTATCAAACCTAACACAAAGCTAACCAACTAATTGGAGACCAAACACCAAACCGTCCCAAAGATGGTCTCAAATTGGAGGGTGAACTGTATACAAAACAGCTTTTTGTAAAAAAAAAATAAAACAAAAATAAAATATGAAATGAGAAATATACAAGTACTAACCTGTAGTCCCTGAAGTGTATATATAGCCTGCATTGTCTGTATGTGTTATTTTATCACGACACTCAAATGGTACTGGGGCATCTGATGCCCTTTGGAGGTGGTCTAAAAGGCCAGTCATTCCTGGTGGTAACTTCTCTCCTGTTCCCAGCACCCACACACATATTCCACTCTGCTCAAGTTCAGGTAGTATCTCCATCACAGCTTTGATATGCTCATCAGCTGGTATAAAAAAAAATAGTATAATTAACTGTCAGTTTGTGGGGAAGAATCTAACCCGACTCAAACTTACACACCCGACTTTTACCTCTGACAACAACAATGAACCCAGTAATAATTTTACGATAGAATACATTGCAGTTTAGTGTACAACATATATATTTGTAGAACCACAAATACATATTTATATAACTTCACAAACTAAATACTTTGTGAGAACATTGTGAGAACGTTCTTTTCTGATATACTGTAACCTTCACGAACAATATAATGCCATTTTGAGTTTGCTGAGGATCCTCCGTATCTGTCGGGTTTGTCGAAACCCAGTTTGCTGAAACCGAGTTTGCCGAGTCCATGGCCACTTTGCCTAAACCCAGCTTGTCAAATCCAGTTTGCTGAAATCATGACAACCCGGTTTGCCGAAACGCAGTTTGCTAAATCTTGCCTTCACCGTCGTACAAAAGGAGCATACTGTGCTTCTGAAAAAATGATGGGTGGGTCTGGGAGGAGCTGTATTTATGTATAGAGGTAAAATACTGGAAAACAACAACGCTGTGGGAAAACACTTGAAGGAACAGCCACTATCTATCGAGCTTGCGCTAGTCATCTGGAGGTCGTGGGTTCGATTCCCACCTGAATCACTTGTACATTTTTTTTCGCAAATATTTGGGGACGTACCGAGTATTGGGTACTAACACACATCAGGTAGGGCACAACATCACTCCAATGATAATTTCCTGATGCAAACTCACATCAAAATGGCATTTGCAGTACTCGCTGTTTACTTGAGAATTGGATTCAATGCAAGTTACCAAGCGCAAGCTCGGCGGTCTAGTGGTTATGGCGCCAGGCTAGTTACCTGGAGGTCGTGGGGATTTGATTCCCACCTGAATCACTTGCAAATTTTTTTTGCAAGTATTTGGAGACGTACTGAGTATTCAGTATGAACACATGTCACGTTGGCCAAAACATCACTCTTATTATAAATATGATTATGACATTTTATATGAGGCTTATGTAATTATTTTTTTTGCTGATAGCCAAGTTGTTGATCAAGTTTGATTTACAGAATAAGACAGAAGCAATCATTAAACTACAATAAGTTGCTATATTATGGTATACGAATGTGATCGCGTTGGAATGGCTTCTAAATTCTCAATGTCGCAATTATGGCTGGCCCTGACTTTCCGCTGGCATAACCATTCCGTATACATGCAGTCATGGTAAGAAAGTACTATTGTGAATTTTATGCTGTAGTCACTGCTTTTAACTGACTTTCGGCAAACTGGTTTAAGGCAAACTGGGATTCATGGTTTTTGAGTTGGCAAACTGGGTTTCAGCAAAGGGTACTCAGCAATCTGGCATACGGCAAACTGGATTTTAACAATCTGACCTAAGCTAGATCTAAATTCTCTCTTGTCATTTTTTCATCTTGATTCACGTCTACAGTTGGCCAATACTAACCTACTACAAACAGTAGTACATTATTTGGATATGCAGGCCTGTCATGAAAAATTTGGTCCGGGGCCAAAGTCGGTCTGCCGGATCGATTTTGGCTCTAAAATTACCTGCCAAATATAGTCCACATAAGCCAAAATTGGTCCGGTGTCTATTTGTAGTTATAACTTGTATTTTTATAACGTTGTTTTTTTTTTTTTTTAATCAAATGATAGATAAATATATTATCTCTCATTATACTGTATAATATATTTTCATTCATTATGTGTGAAATTATATGAAATTCAGTAAAGCTTCGCGCCCAGTAAACCCTCTTGGTGTAAAAGTATGAAAAGAAGTTAAATGATGTGGTCTTAAATCATGTTGGTCAGCCTTAGTTTATTTTTTTACCTTTTTTTGTTTTGGCTGCGTGTGCTTCGCCCCGACGAAGTACATGCATTCAATTCAAGAATTCTGACACATTTATTTTATGTATTAGAATATCTATTGTATGATCTAATACTCCACACAATAATCCGGAATATTTAAAACTAATAAATCAGTCTTGTTTCATTTTAGGCCCAAACCTAGGCCTAACCACGGCCGCTGAAATGAAGCATGCTGTGTGTATCGCCTAGGAAATGCATTATCAGGTGGGTTTGATAAAACACCTACTCAAAAGCTTAATTAATACAAATCATTCTGTCACTGCAAAAGACTTTGCAAGTGTGGGAGAAGCATAAATTATTTTCCTCCGCTACATGGGAAAACAATCATACCCTACTACGAGCAGCAGACGAGCTACAATTGAAGTGGCCAGGCCGACGCGGACCAATTTTATCCAAGCGGGACCGGTTTTAGCAGCTAAAATCAACCCGGAGGACCGATCTTAGTAGTTCAGCGGACCGATTTTGGCGGCCGAAATCTGTCCGCTGGACATTTTTTGGCCCGGACCAATTTTGGCGTGACAGACCTAGGCCTATTTAAAATCTACAAATTGCATAAATATTACCTACCACCACTGCAGAGAATTGCTTTTGCCTTGCCAATTTTGATACAGTTCAACAGAGCTCTTCCTCTAAGGTTATAGTTAATCAAAGCACAATTGATTCCAAGCTTTTGTAAACCAAGAAAACTGAAAATATACGCCGGCTCGTTTGGCAAAATTAAAGCCACAGTGTCCTTTTGTTGCAAAATTCCTGTGCTTCGTAAATAATTGCCTATCTTATTGGATTCCTTCTCTACATCAGCATACGTATATACAGAGTCTTCAAATAAAATCATTGGTTTATTGGGATTATTTACAAGACTTTGCAAGAATACATCTACGATAGTTTTGTCTTCCCTCTCCAAGGCTCCTCTAAATTGAAGGGCACGATAGCCAAAGCGTATCATCCTCACATCATTCACAAGCGCGTCGCGGTACTTTCGGTGCAGATAGAGCCCAAACGCTGCTGTTCCACCTAGGCCTAGATACAAACCAGTTCTTTTCGAGTTTGCCATTATTTTAAAGATTCTTGATCCTTTGGAGCGAGTAAATATTATATTATTTTCATCAGAATGCAAATATCTAGAATAAAAACAAGATTTAGACCGTTGTTCCTCCCCGTGCTTCTATTCAACCATCCAGGGATGATTCACGTGAATGTGCAAGTAATTTAACCTTTCAACCTAGATTAGAAGTGGGCGTGTCGTTTTCAAGGACACTTTCCGAATCGCGAAACGACAAAATTAGTACGGGCCAACTCCATAACGAAACATTAACACTTAATAGGCCTACAACTGTAACCTTCTATTTTGGGAACAATTCTTCAAAGATGTCATGATAAAAAAAATTTAAAAAAAACAAAAAAAAAACACTTCATTCTATGATTAATTTCATATTTGAATTGCCTAATTAATTTAAAATATAAAAATTGAATGCGAACAAATTTTCGGACAATTACAGCCTAAATAATAGGCTTTTGATCCTGTATTCTTTTGTATTGTACTGTAGGCCTATCCTATAGACCCTTAAATTGGCTGTAGTAGGCCTAATCAATGTAAATGTAAATCAGCGAAAAACATTTTTTCGACCTGTTTTTGATTGGAACTATCTTTGTAATAAGCTGCTAAAACTCCCAATTATTTTTTTTTTAATTCCGATTTTTTTTTGGCAGACAGTGCATCTTTAGGCCTATATCGTATTCTATTATAAATACATATGAAGATACTAAAGAAAGGGAAAAAATAAGTTTAATGAAAGTGGGTTACCCCCACAAAAGAGAAAAAAAAAGTAGCCTCAGTCCCGTTAGTCTTTGTAGTTGTAAGGATGACACAATCTTGAGCTATCCCATGGGGCTGTCGGACATAAAGTCACTTTAGGCAGGCGACCGTGCTTTTGAATAAGTTACCCCTAAACTATGGAATGCTCTACCGGTACCGATTGAAATCAGTAAAGCAAGTTGTGTTGATGTTTTTAAAAATCTTTAAAAAAAAAATATTTTTATATGATCTTTTTCTGTCTTGTTGCCGATCTGATTAATGTGAATTTTAACTTGAGTGTGATGATGTTTCTTGCCGATTTGAATTTTACTGTTTAACTTTTATTGTGAAGCAATATGATTGACTTTTAATATGCTGTTGAGCTTTAGCTTTCCCCAGAATTTTAGTTTCCCATAATTTTAATTTTCTCTTTTATATTGTAGATTTGTATTCATGTCTGTTTTATACACATTTAAACATAATTTTAATGGAACGTGCAATAATTAATACATTATTATTATTATTATTATTATTATTATATTATTATATTATTATATTATTATCATTATTTTAATTATTATAATAATTATAATATTTATATTATTATTATTACTTTTATTATTTTTATTATTTCTATTATTATTATTATTATTATTATTATTTATTACTATTATAGTTTTTGTTTGATGGCATTTTTTCATTAGTCAGCCATGTCAACATACACTAGGGCCTAAATCAATAAAACGTACCGTCCAGATAGGGTGAATTACTACACTACTGTATACCTCCAGAATGTATACGTATTTTACTCACTGGTCCAGATCAGGTGGCTCCAAAAATGTTCCGAAAGGGGGTCTGGACAAAGGGCCGACTAACCTCAGTACGTCTGGTCTTGGAATAAAATCATGGTTCATGGGTAAAGTTTTTATGGCTTTTGTATGGCCAAAAATTGTACTTCTAGAAGCGTAATTTTAGGGAATGACGATCAATAAATGAACGTTATTTGGATCATGAACTGGGAGTTTCAGTAAATTAATATATTTTGTTCCGACACCTCGCCAGCGTCGGACAATGAGGGCCGTCCGATTGCGCCGTTGACTGCAGTACGCTACGGTACACAGTGCAACGGTTCGCTATTATCGTACTTATGCCCTGCATAATTATAATCACTGTTCCCTGATCATAATATTAGGGAGATTTCGCAATCTTACGAAAACGATAACGAAACGAATATGTCATTAACATTATCGTCATTCATGCCTGCAACATCTTGACAATATGCTGTAAGAGCTAAATTTATTATGCTTAATTCACACAAAAAGCACGAATCGCCTACTTTATGACAGATGTGCTACTATATATGCTATATAGAAGAAGAGTTTTCTAAAAATTTGATGACGTAACCGTATTCGTCCTCCTTTCCGTAAGTTTGCGACTATTATATAATTCTCAAGTACAGTCGTTATATCATTTTTTTTAAAATATTTTCGTGTCCAAGACACAACTCTTAATATAATGATAATACCGTAGTCATACTATCTGTACGATCATCACAAAAATATTTTTACATAGAATTATTTCTTATTTTTAAGGACGCTCAAATGAAACTGTGTACAAATATAAAAACGATTATTACTAATTTACAACAAAATTTACTGTATTATTACAAAAAAGATTAATTTACTGACAGGCTCATAATAAAATACAAATGTATATAAAATTTAAATTCTTTGTCTGGATACACACATTGCCAAGAAATACGCTTAAAATATTAAAGTAATTTAAACACAAATATAAAACTGTATATTGAATATAATTACATACTTGGCAATATCAACCCACAGAAAATGCAAAAACAAATACAGTAAAGGTTCATCAACGTGGATTTGGATTGGATTGGATTTATTCGGTGTAAACGCCAAGGATAGCCCACGAAAGTTACTAGAAGAAGACTCATTTCCAGTGGGGTCGTTCTGGTGGTATTGGACAGTACACCATGACACAATCCCCTACTCTTTTCCGAAGAGTGTACTGCGTTCTTTAACGTGCACATAGGTCATAAAGGCACACGGGACCAATGGTTTAAACGTCTCATCCGAAAGACGGTGCGCTATTGTAACTTGTATTTCAGCCCTCAAACTGAAACACAATGAGAGGCAGCGATGGGAATTGAACCGGGAGATCTCCACGGTTCAGCGCACACACAGTGGCTACCACCAGATTATCCGACTGTGCTAAGCTGCTCTCTCAAATATAATATCTCGTAAATATTAATAATCGCTTATTATATCTCGTAAATATTAATAATCGCTTATTGTATAACTTTATTCAAAAACTGTAATGACTGTCAATTTCTGGAAAGCCTTGTGTCATGATAAAATATAACCAAAATACAATGAACGAGACGTTAATATTGAATTACGAATAAAAGTAGAGAGATGGCGAATGAGAAACAGCAATAGAAGTTGGTACTAAATTTCGATATCATTCAACACTTGAAGACGGAATCCTGATTGCAGCAGATCTATAGGCCTACAGTGAAAACAATTGCTGATTCTCAATTTACATTATAGTTGTTTGACATAGGCTAGATTATTATCATTAAAATGCACTTTAAAATCGAATTAAAGTTACAAGCCCGTTTAGCAACTCTCTTTAATTTACTTAGGAATGTGTCTTGTATACTCGTTATCATGATTGTATTTGACTATTATTATACAAGTCACCATCATCTAGCCTTGTTTTGGGTGAATTCCCGTAAAAAAAAATCATCATTATCGTTGACGTCGACATCGTTATCATCATTGTTGTTATTAGTATTTATATATAAATTATTTATTAGCTAAATAACTCTTGTAGTTGAAAGTAAAGAGACTGATGTAGGCCTACTACGTTTTTAATGGAATACAGTAGTGCCGAATGGGAGCATATACATGACAATAAGGAATCATATTACAATAGGCACCTTTACACACTTGTGAAATTATCGTCCAAGTAGGTAAATTGTATCGTGATGGATGTGACTGAGGCAAGCCTGCTGATAAAAACTCATGTCCATACTTTGAATGAACATCTTGTACTTGATTCGCTGTTTCACAGTTACTCGTATTAATTTTTCTCATTAACTGAACATGTCTTCCGAGATGGAATTTTAATTTATTTCAAGTTTAAATAGGGTAACCCTTATCATATTTTAATCAAAAAAATAAGTAGAAAAAGAATAAATATAAACTATGAAAATCAGTGAAAATCCCAACATACATTGAAAGCACACTAGAACTTGTGACATGCCAAATATTAATTAGAACCGCAACTGTGCTCTAGAACGCGGGAGACAAAGAGAAATGTAAACTCAAAAAAATAATAGAAACTAACATATTGTACCTTTTATATTATTTTTTTTAATAGCATTGGACCTCAATCAATAATAGTTTACAGACTAAAACTGACTTTATTGTACAGAGAGGTGCACAATTTTCCAGTTAAACCATAACGTCCCAGATCTGAACATTTATAAAATCCGGTCAATGGATCTAAATGAAACTTTCTGTAATAGTTTGTCACTGTCCAATGAAGAAATAATTAAATTTTAGTGACGATCCGGAAGGAAAACTTCCTAGACAAAGCATTTAAAAATCTGATCAACTGATCTGAATGAAATTTTCGGGAAAAAAGTTACAAGGAGAACATTAGCACTTTAAATGGCCCTCAATTCACAACAACCGAATTCGTCACCGAAATTTAATAATGTGACGATCGGGAAGGAAAACTTCCTAGACAAATCATTTAAAAATCTGATCAACTGATCTGAATGAAATTTTCGGGAAACTAAGTTACAAGGAGGACATTATTAAATTTCTGTGACGAATTAGGTTATTGTGAATTGAGGGCCATTTAAAGTGCTAATGTTCCCGGCCTGAATATCTCAAAATAATTATAAATGGATCTAAATAAAACTTTCCAGAATAGTTTTTTTTTTCGCTCTTTCGTGGGAATTTCATCTATTTTTATTTCTCTTTTTGTTAATTTTGATTTTACCCTTTTTTTCTTTCTTTCTTTGTCCCTTCTTTATTTCTTTCTTTCTTTTTTTTTGCCAATTAAAATACTAAAATTGCACTTAAAAGGGATCAGTCCACATTGGCTGACTGTAATTTTTTTTAAACACATTTTTTAACTTCATTATTTTTTTATTTTTTTAGTCTTTCGTGGGTGTAGCCCACCTTTATTCTCTCTTTTTTCCTTGTTTTCATTTTTTTTCACTAACTCTTTGTTAAGGTTCAATAAACATTATGTTCAGGATTTACATGAAAGTAAAGCAAAAACAAATAATAAAAACTTCACGTGTCTACCACGAAGTACACTATCACATGAAATTTCTATAAACAATTATTATTTTGATAAATTTTTACCTAT